CAACTTATTGATCGACATTCAGCACTACAAACGTCGCATAAGGAAGATTCCGACCGCATTCCATTCACTCTCACGTTTCACCCTCACAACCACTCAGTTAAATCCATCATTCTTAAAAACTTTAAATTACTTCAAAACGATCCAGAGACAAGCACTATCTTTTCGCAGCCTCCGCTCATTTCATTCAAACGCGACAAAAACATAGGCAATTTTTTGGTCAGAAGTTCTTTTCAGACTAATGACCAACCAGGCACTTTTAAATGCGCTCGTGCACGATGCAAAACGTGTCCTTTCATTCACAACACTGATAAAATATCGGGACCTAAACGATCCATTAAGATCACCGATCACTTCACGTGCACCTCCGCCAATGTAATCTATTGCATAACTTGCACTTATTGCAAAAAGATATACATCGGCGAAACAGGCAGAAGACTAGGTGACCGATTCCGAGAACACCTTCGAGACGTGGAAAGGAATGACAAGGACACATCGAAACCAGTCGCTAGACATTTTAATTTACCTAATCATTCTAAGCAACATATGGCAATCTGCGGTCTTTCCTTGCACTTAGGTGGCACGGAAAGCCGTAAAAATCTTGAACAAAAGCTCATCTTTCAAACCGGCAGTCTAAATCCCACAGGGATCAACGAACGCTTTTCATTCCACTAATTTATTCATGTTTTTCTCGTTGCCATGCTCCCACCAATAACGTAGCTCCATTTTCTGCCTTTAAAAGCACACACAACCCACAATTCCTCTATTCGCTCCGACGAAGGGCTAACGCTCGAAACGTCAGCTTTTGTAATCATTACGGTGGCTAATTTACCATTTCAACTTTGTTGATATATCCAAATTGTTTCGTTACTCCCACCGACGCAGCCCCAAACAGTTTCTTTCGAAACTATCAGCCTTTATTCATTTGTCGAGATCAATCGAACAGTGCTAAAAATTAACAACTTTCAGCCACGTGCTTTGACCATGATTTCCCAAATCAATTAGGGTCGAGTTAGCTACGTGTATTTTTAAAACTTCCTCCATAACTCGGATGTATTTATAGTCCTGAGATAAACATATTTCCCTTGTCTACTTAATCTTACTTTACAGATTAACCCATTAAATAATGTGCGTACTAAGGGGTACTTACCTTTTTCAACGGTCGGAAAATCCCTGGCAAAATCCGGTCAATTTCTCATACTCTTAACACGTCAGATTCGAGCACTCAAAAGAGGATTCAGACGAAACTGCAACCAGAAATTTGTAGTTAATCTAAAGATATTTGCTTCACGTGATATTTAACCGGCGGCCGACGTTATCGGGTCCGCTAAGGAGAGTTTTCCAACAAATCTGACGGCTTTCAAATGGAATCGGAAAGGACTTAGGACCAATAAGCGGCGCTTCTGATCGTTTCCGCACAGTATAATAGGGACAACGGTATAAGAGGGGGTGGAGTGGGGAAGACATTTGGCCGGTCATGACACCGATAAACAAAGTGAGGTTAAGGTGCATATCACCGTTGATTTTACTGATTCAGAAGTTTAAAGTAATTCTGTAGAAAAAAAAAATACAGTAAAGTGATCTATTGCATAAAATGGTGGCAAGATTGAGCTCGCAGCAAAATGAATTCGTGATTTTTATTTTTTGGTGTTAATGATGAACTCTCGAGCTTGATGTAAGCGAAACCATACAGCTTTAAGCGTTTTTGTTATTTTTACCCGTAAAGTACTGTATATCTTAATCATACAGTCTCCTCAAACACTACCCCCATCCCCTGGAAAAGTTAATTTTCCACAGTGTTCAGCGTGACAGAAACTCAAGCCCCTTCTCTTATTATATTGCGTGACACTCAAAGCCTCATTTATCTCAAAGGATGGTAAAATCAAAACAAGGAAAGTGCCTCGACTTTGTCAGAACATAGTTCTTGAGACATACTAAAATATACACAATATACAGACATAATATCGTCCTAAAAAAATTTAGCTTTTTTATTCGATCTTTTATTCGATTTTTAGCGAAGAGGACCAAATTGATAAGGATGCTTTAACTCAGCTCTAACCAGCTTTTTAAAACTGCATGGCGGAAATTCAATGGACACTTTCATAAAAAAGACTTTCAGTGTCCTTAAATTTACGTCAGTCTCAGCGGTAGACCCAGATAAGGGATACATTGCAGCCACAATAATAAATCACCTGTCAAAGCTATTGCTACAAATCGAAAATAAGGCTCTCAGAAGTCCGGCGTAAATCAGTTCCCAGGTACAACAAATATGACAGCCATGTCTGCTCAGGGCAAAGAGTTCTTGCAATGATAACCTTGCCAGAACTTCGGGGTCGAACTTGTTCTCGAATTAAAAACATAACAATCCCATCAAAGATAATCTTACATGTTAAATGTCCAACCCTTTTGCTTAACTAAATCAAGTGCTAAATTACTATGCAATACTAACTTCAAGATATCTAATGATTCACACTTTATACATGTACTAGCTATTATAGAAAATATATTGTTGTTCATCGTGGTGTTACAAGCAAATTAACTTTTAATCGTCTGTCTCGCGATGGAAGAATCAGCCTAGTCAATTGTAAATACACATGTCTGACCGTTTAAAAAACGTTGCAATTTGAAAATATATGTAAAATATATTCACTTTTTCTTTTTCCATTAACCAAGATATTAACCGAATAAATTACAGGGACAATTCTCTAAAAGGAAGTGGTGTCAAAATTTCCAAAGTCTTTGTTTCAGCTTCGAACGCCATATAACAAAAGAGATCATTGTTTCTTTGATGAGCAATAGACATGCATTGTCCATAACCATTTTAGAGGAAATTAAAAGCTGATATATATATAGAGAGAGATAGATATATACGTTATGGTATGTACTAGCTATAAATATAGTAATAATAATAATAATAAATATAATAATAAATATTTATATAGCGCCTATTCTTTTCAGTACTAAGCGCTTTACAATGCCTCAAGAAGAACTAAAATCATATACATATATATATATATATATATATACATAATAACAAAATACAAAATGGAGAACCTACAATACCTCATAAACTTGCTTAAAAAGAAAGGTCTTCAATTTAGATTTGAACTTCTTTACATCGTCGATTAAATATAAAGTCATCTTTAATCCTTCATTTACTTTTCTAAGGCGAGAAAATTCAAATGGTCGCTATTTTCTCGGTTGTGAACTAAAGGCTTTAATTTATATAGTTTTGGACAAAAAGAACAACTCCCGATCAGAACTCGGCAAATGATCATGAGATCTCATTTCAAAGTTATCGATTCACTCAATCTCTTCAATAGCTCCTGCAGTTATACTTCTGTTTGTAGCAGCACCAGGTCCAGCCTCTAGAAAACTAAATCATTTGAAACGTTTAGTTAATTACTATTTTTCAATACGTATTTTTGGTTGATGTGGAAAAGGTCAACCAGCGAAAGAACAAGCTTTATTTCATGCGATCATTAAACGAACAGAAGAATGGGAAGAAAGGATAAAAGATACTTCTTTTTTACAGGAGCACCATTCTCAGACCACCAAGAGGAACAGGGCGAAGGATGGTTTCAGAAATTTCTCTTCCAACAATAACAATAACAATGTGCTTCATTTTTCCCTCACCTACACTACAGTTACTTTTGTCTCAGTACTTTAAAATAATGAAAATAAAGGGTAAATGACAGCCGAAATAACCTTTTATCGCATGAAATGAAGCTTTTTGTTCTTGTTTTTCGGGCATATGCCAGATTGCCAGTTAATCCTGTAATTTTGCCCTTCATGGTCGGTGGTTGAAATCGATAAGAGCTTAAAATATAAGTATCTCAGTACACTCAATAAAAATAGGTAAATGAAGTTTAGAAGAAGAGTAGAAGACAAAGTAAAACATACTACAAACATCATGAACTAATATAATCACTAGTAACTTCCTTCTTTCATTCTAGATCTTTTATAATTCCTTCCCATACTATCAATAAATTTCTAGTCCACTACACTCAGCATAATCATTTAATAATACACCACGGAGTAAGTTTACATACCGCTGTGCTGCAGATGAAGGCGATTGAACGTTTAGATTTGGATTCTCTCCAGCCACACAAACGTGACCCTCCATGTTGACAGTGTGATTAATATAGTTATTAACGTTTATTACTGAAATAAATCGTAAATATAAAGACACTGTTAGTCTATAAGCATTGAAACATGCTGTATACAATGCAACATCACCACTACAAACTAGCTCGAGGGTGCGTTCTTTGTGGAGGATCCGGATCACGGTGTTTTGTCACATTATTGATCCATTGAATCCGCTTTAGACAGGGATTCATAAGATCACTGATCTGAGGGATCTGAAAACGGATCATTAGGTGATCTCGGATTAAAAGCCCTGACCTGGATCGATCATTAGATATGTTCAAAAATCTCGAAACATACCAGTTGGCCTTGTTGTCGACGTCGAGGAAGGAATCAGTTCAGCACTTGACAAGCCAGTAGTCATGAAATTGTTGCCTCTGTTGTGGTTATCCGCAATGTATTCGCTTGTTCCAGCAACTGGTAAAAGTGATGATTCCCCAACCGCTTGTTGATCGGGCTCATCTAAAGCAATATATAGAGCAGTTAGGTACTTTTGATCACATATTGAATCTAACAAATGTTTAGTCATTAAAACACTATTTTTGAAAAGGGTTGAAAAATGGGTTAACTCGCTTAACATAGCACTACTTTACTTACAAGAGAAGAATACTAATACCATGCAAAGCGAAATCCCTTGTGTAGAAAATGTCGCAGGAAGGAAATTAGGTAGTTTTTTTGTCTCTGATTTCCGAATTGATCATATCAGCCCTCTGTATCCCAAAAATAGTTTAACTTAATGACCAACAAAGTTATTTTTGAAAAATAATGTTTTTTCTCAACCTGTAATTTCCAAATCACTCTCAGTTTCTGGAGATGAATATTCCAAAGGCACAAAAGTATTGCTTTCAACGCCTATGGTCCCTGATCCCCATCTGTGGGTCAAGCGTAGTCTAACGTCTGTCCCTGCTTTGGCGACGTTCAAAAGTTTCAGGCTGGTTTCCTTAATTTCTGTTTGATTTAGGAGGCCCAGTTGTCCATCTAACGCATTCTGCAAATATTCCAGAGCATTGCCGATGTTGTCTTTCTGCGTAGAATACAGAGTAACTCGAAGGTTCGATGATTCTCCGTCAGTTTCACTTTTGAATGATACTGGAAAATAAGCAATGGGAGCATTTTCAAAAACCTCACTGTATGACTCAGGAAGGATGACCATTGCTTCAAATGCTCCAAGTGTGAGAAGTTGTCCACCAATGTGAACATGTGCAGTAGCTTCAAGTTGCAAGTTTTCCTCACGCTTCTTGATCATCCAAAAGAGCTGAGAAAAAATTTCTTTCGACATATCGTACTTTATGTCATCTTTTGTTTGGTTGTTGATTGAGTTAGTTGGGTCCTTCAGTTCAAATTGCACAAGGTGTGATGGATCAAACTTGGCGAATTTCAACAAACTTACTGCGACATTGTGGAAATCCCGCAAGAAGCTTCCCTCATAAGCTGTAGTATTTGACATAATATCTCTAGTGAGTAAGGAAAAATATTCCAATCTTTTGTACAATCTACGTGCTTCAGTGCATTGAAAGAACCTTTCTAGAAAATACAACATTCCAGCCATATAGGCGCCGCTGCCCCAGCTTTGTATCAGGGATTCCCTTTGTCGGTCATCGTTATTGTTTCGACATAGAATCTCGAGAATGTGGCACACCTCAGTAAAAAGTTTGAAAATACTCTTATCATGGGCAGCATCTCGAATGCCTGAAGTAATTTTTTGGAGCGTTGCCTCCTCCGTCACTCCTCGTAATCCACTTGGCGTTCGTTGAATGATTTTCTCCTCTCGGAAGATTTCTTTAATGGCTTGGATGAGCTCAGAAACGATGCATAGGAAACAGCTTGTAACGAATTCATCCTCTTGAGAGGAGAACATGCGCTTGCACTTTTTTCCAAAGCTCTCGCTGAGTCGCTTTTTCATCACAAGAACAGAGGCAAAATTCTCCGTTTGAATTGCTGATTCCACCTCTTCTTCAGAGGTTGCGTTTTCAATACAGCAGTCTCTTAAAACTGCGCAGCAAAGCTTCTCAACTTCGCAATGAAAATATTTCATTACGTCAGAGTCCTGGTGTTGTAGACCTGCAATTTTGCCTGCCAGCTCTCTTAAGTGATCGATATGCATTTGTCCTCTTTCTTTCACCTTGTATTCTACAATTAATGATATAGAGAAAAAAAGAAGAGGCTGTTACAAAATGGTTCTTGTCTGTAGTCCTTTCTTCCTCGACAACACCTGACCGCGTCGCCTTCAAGTCTTGGAACGGACCAACAATAAAATGACTGAGGAGAATACGCATTTGCAATAACATCAGAAAATGTTTGAACGGTCTAATGTCCTCGGATAGGGACGATAAACAGGACTCCCTCCCCTATATCTTTGCCGTAATGGTTAGCAAGGGACGGATTGTACGGTTTTCTGCTCTATTCACCCGAAATCAGTGTTATGTAAAATAAGAAAACCAACTCTTTTTTTTTTCCAATTGTCAATCTTTCTTTTACGCAAAATCAAAAAGTCAAAGAGAAAGTGAATGGAAAGATAGAACCTTAAGGTTTATCATTATAAACGACCTCCTAATCGCACTCGGACCATGCTTACAAGTTCATGGTCGTCACCTCAGGTCTATAAACTTAGAAGAGGAAAAGAGGTATACCTTCAGGTTCTAACTCCTCAAGGGCATTTTTCAGATCATTCGGACTTGCTGCATCCCCATGCTTTTCCATCCACTGTAGTAATAGAAGTTCCAGTTGTTTTTTCTCGCTTCGCCAACATGTAAGAACTTGACGCTGAGTTTCTGCGGGTAATTCGAGCTTTTGAGCCACGGCTTTAACGTCAAAAATTGCTCTCTTCACACCAAGAACGTGTCTCACGTAGCCACACAGATCTGCAATGAAAGGTTTTCTTCTTCATAAAACAAACACGTCAATTTAACCCTCTACAATGTTTCTGCATGTGATCATTGGAAAATTCTACTACCAAAAGATTTTATGTAGTGTGACTATCATTTAAACTGAATAAGATTGTAAGAACACACCAGTTAAGGTGGGGCAAATTTTGAACAAACTCGAATACTCGAATAGCAGAAACTCACCTTGTTCGCAAAACTTGCTCTCGCGAACGAGTCCAAACTCGCCTTTCACAAGGATCTTTCCACAAACAATTTTTGAATTTGTGTTACAAACTTGTAAAGGTAATTTGATCACATGTCCAGTATTCCACCAAGCACAAGAGTCCACAACCACTTCAAAACATTCTTGCTGGTTGTTTGCCGGTTTGTAATCCTCCCCGAGTTGAACTGAGATCGTTATGATTTCCTTGTTGTAGATACAGATACTTTCCTGTGCATTTTTAGAGTCAATAGGGAGTTCTTCAAATCCATCTTTTTTAAGCCGCATTATGGCAGAGTCTTCATGATCTCTGTAGTATTCCTCCTGGTAGGTGTCTTGGCTCATGAACACAAGGGCAAGTTCGTCAAAGGGGCTTTGCTGCTGATTAAGTTTGAAGAGGACTGACAAGTTGTATTTGAAGGGCATGAGGTTCAGCCGGGTTACAATTTCTTTGGTGCGTACCAATGTCAACCTCGCTAGAACAGCAATTAATGAAAATTGATTTATTCTAACTTCTAGTTTTTTCGTTTGCAAATCAAATTTGGACTCATTAGTGATGTCCTCCCAATTTATTATTTGGCTTTGACCGGTCCGAGTTCCATGTAAAACGAGGAGATCACTGTCTGACTTCACTCTTTTGCCGTTTAATTTAACCTCCAGAGTGACATATTTTTCGAATTTCTGGCCGTTTGGTTGACAGTTGACAATGGGAGCAACAAAGGACACATCGTTGAGGAGACCACATCGACCTGTCAGGTAACAGTATCTGTAAGGTTCTTCCAATGTAAGTCGGATGCTGACAGTATCTTCCACGGCTCCAGGAGGGCAGATCATGTTAACGCCTTTTACACTCAGAGTTGCTCCTTTTCCGGTTACGATTTTTGATGCCGTGGTATCTTTGCTGTCTTCAGCTACAAAAAAAATTAATAAAATGCAACAGGTCACTTTTCAGACTTAAACATAACAACATAAGAATGAATATATATTTTAAAAAAGAAAAAAGGTCCATCTGCTGGAAAACAAAATTTGAAAGCGGATCGTATCATGTTGCGGGATACGAGGTTGCTGAAGTTGCATCATTTTTCATTATTTTACGGGGGAACAACGGCTATCGAGGCGTATTTTAAACTTTTCGATTTTATAGAGAAAGCAAAGCGCGATAGAACTTTTTGATGAAATTTTTTTAATGAAAAAGGTTCATCGAAAGCGTCGTTTCGGAAAAATTAAATGTATTACGAACTTCGTAATTCATTTCATTGAAATTTTTCAATCGTCGGCGGATTCTCGATATTTATGGTCAGTGACTTTTAAACATTTGCATTGTTAAAGATCTATTGACTCTCTGTATATTTGTTTGATTAGGCGTGTAAAAGTGTTGTTCATTATTCGCTTGTTTCACTTGCATGGCAACAGTCAAACAAAGTCTGGTGATCGATCGATGGCTAATCGTGTTTGCAAAGCACCCGCGGTGTTTTACCCTGTAGAGTATGAAATACCATAATAATCTTTTAGTTAAAAAGCCATTGAGTCTAAATATATTTGTTTGATTACGCTTGTAGAAGTGTTTCTCGTTATTCACTTGTTGTACTCGCATAGCAACAAAGTCAAACCAAGTCTAGCTGATCTGTTGACCGATCGATGACCCATCGTGTTTCAAAAGCTTTGAAAACTACGCGCTAAACCACTACGTAATGCTTAATCGAGCTACTGGATAGAGTGATGATTTCTCTATTATTTGACCATAAGGCGCTGTAAACGATACCTTAGAAAAAATCATTTGCTTACAAAATAATTTCGTTTTTTTGAATATTTAATCTGGATATTTCTCTTGTGGACTGCCTCGTTTCATGATGCTACAACGAACTTCAAATCTAGCCCCCTTTGTTGTTCCGATATATCGGCGATGTATCGGATGAACAAAGTGCGACATTCGGCGATAATAGTTTGCATTACTTTTGCACAGTACTGTAGTGATACTGTGGATGATTTCACTGCAAAATGAGAAATTTGAGCATACGCATGGCATAGAACTTGAATAATCGCAAATATGGACGTAGTTATTTCGATACCCAGAGGAACCCTTCCAGAGGAAATGAAGGACTTCAGAGGAGGATAGCCAGCGAAGGCATCTAATAGCGTTATAAAAATTATGCTACATATCATGAATGATGACGCCTTGAGAATACGTAACAGGATTTCTAGGGCACTCATCTCCCACCATGCCATCAAGCCCATGACCCTAGCCAGAAATCACTGCGTACACACCATCATGATTCACTATTTATGAGCTGTTCACATTTTTTTCAAGCCTATGTTTGACGCTCAAAAGTAATGATAGAGGATTGAAAAGGTTCTTCCACTAAATTTTCTTGGTCCGATGCAAGAATCCTTGCTTTACTCTTTCAACTGTATATGAATTTTGAGAAGAATGCAAAATTTATGTCGCCTGAGACCACGCCCGTCATCACGTTAAGGATACGGTAGACCTTCGCGGGTGTCCTTCGCGAAAACATTGTTACCACGCTATTTAAAACGTAACCACCATAAACTATATATCAATGAAAAGGTTATGAAATGCACTTTCCAGAAAAAACTGTT